TAGCTAGCTTATGCATTTGTGATTTGCCATGTTTATATAAAAAATTTGATAAAACCCTTTTGGATTTATTTCAACTGTTCTGTTCACAGCTATCCATATGTAAACTAAAACCAAGCTTTTGGCATCTTTTGAAGTCGTGCTGGTGCCTAATAGTACTGGTGGTAATGATGACATAGAGAAATGGCGGTATGGGAACATATTGGGCAATCCACTAGATCTTGTGCTATTCATTAGTGAAATTCACAAATGTTTACACCTGACAAATGAAAAACAGAGCAAATATATCCCAGATCACCCTGGTACAATAAATGTTAATGTTTAAAAATTCAATTCTGATTCTTGTAAGCAATATGCCATTATTTACAGGGTTATTCACAAAAGGGTGAAGAGTTTAGAGAAGGCAGGAGAAGTGAACAATCTAGGACAACATTGCTGAACTGGAAAGTTAGCTGAATTGGAGAATTCTTTCCAATCAGCTATTTTGTCCTAGATTGTTCACTTCTCCTGCCTTCTCCAAACGCTTCACCCTTTTGTGAATAGCCCTGTTTGTTACAAACCCTCAAAATTGCAATATGCAACTGAGCTTTGCATTTTCCTAATTGCTATGTATGGAAGAATCTTGAGGTTCCAAGTAATGTCTAATGAGCCAGGGGATGTTCCTTTAACATCGGTAAAGAAATAGAAAAAGACATAAACCATATGATGCCTATTTTTATGTATAATGTATTTCGTTTACATGCAAGAAAACTGTGGTTTATCTTTAATTCCACCGTGCTTCAAAGGGGTTATATGTAATTGCACCATCTTAGATTGCTAAAATTAGCAAATAGCTACCTAAATAAAGAGGAAGCTGCAGATGGCTTTAATTGCCTAAAGTGTCTACAAATATATATTTTATTTTTTTTCATAACAGAGTGATGTTGGTAGTGAGCTCTTTATCAAAAATGCACAACTCAAGCATGCTGGAAGATATATTTGTATTGCACAGACCATTGTGGACAACTCTTCTGCATCAGCTGACCTGGTAGTCAGAGGTAATCATTGCTGTGTATGATAAGCATGTAAAAGTAGATGGTCAATCAATTGTATATTATTCATGTACCCTGAAATATTCAGCATTCCTATTTAAAGTGAATGTATAGCCAATTTTATTTTTAAGTTTTAGATAGAGAAGGGGAGTTAGATTCTCTGTCAGGTTTGTATTGCAGTATTTGGCCATTGGCCATTCATCCTCTCTACTAGTACTTGTGAACATTGTCAAAGAGATAGAAAGCTTGGAAATCCCAAATTTGACACGTGTCAGAACAAGATGAGATGGTAAGTCTCCCAATGGGAACATCTGTTGCTGTGACAACTGCGCAAGATGGGCATTCAGTTTACATTGGAATTACTTACTTTCACTTCTTGTTGTGTCATGCAAATCTCCCCAAGGGGACACTAATGTCAAAACATAAACCAACAGCGGTATACCCTTCTCTCATCTTTCTAAAAACCAAAACAACGTTTTAAACTTCAAAAACTTAGGCATTAAAACTCTTTATACAAATCTGGGGAACTCTCTATAACTGCAAGAGAAAGACGTTGTAATGTTTAATGAGTAAGCAGTCAGTAACATTTTAGCCTTATTAGTTTTAATATGGCTCTAAAAGTGTGGTTTTCCATTGTTAGTTTATAGTGTGATAATGTTGTTGCTGTTATTATTATTATTATTATTGTAAAACATGCTTTTACACTTCTATATTACATGATCTGCACTGCTTTCTTCTGTACTGGAGTACTATCTTTTTCTTTGCTAGGTCCTCCAGGTCCTCCTGGTGGTGTTAGGACAGAAGAAATAAAAGACACAACTGTGAAACTTACATGGAGTAGTGGGACAGACAATCACCAGCCAATTTCTAAATATACTATTCAAGCTAGGAGTTCATTGTCAGAAGAATGGAGGAATCCATTGCCAGAAGAATGGAAGGATGTGAAGACGGGTTGGTTAAAAACTTTTTATGCGCTACACAGAATTCTGCTGTATGCCTATTCTCTTTTACATAGTTTACCTTAATCCTTCTGCAGATTTTCCCTTTGATCAACAGATTGCATTGAGAAACATGGAGAAGCAGAAATTAGAACGGTTCATTATGAATGAGGGCATGGGAGTCAGGAATACAACAGGGCAGCATTTATGAGCCCAGAGGTGCATAACAGAGCGTTATGGAGGGGGAATAGGATGGCTGGGATTGGAATAGAAGCAGCACAGAGAAGAAAGAACTAGAGTGTTTGTAGTATAAATAAAACAACAAAGAGGGTGTCTGGTACCCTTAAACTCTGAAAGTGGAGACAAGATAGTTAGATTCTAGTTAGATAGTGTTAATTAGATAGTGTTTAACCTCCCTGGCGGTATTCCCGAGTGTGGCTCGGGGTTAAAAAGGAGCCTTACAACAATAAGAGTGAATAAAAAAACTGAAGCCCAGTGCAGTTTGGCTGACCTCACTGTATGCATTACATCCTGTAACTTTCAACTTTGCCTGGAGGTTTATTGCCATTTAACGGTTTAATGTGCTTTTCTTTAAAAGAATGTTGTCACTGATGCTTTTCATTTTATGTGGTTTATATCAAAGAAGAAAAATGTGAAAGCAAAACTTTAATATTTCTTTACATCAGAATATGACTTTATGTTGTTACCCATGCAATAATGTTCCTTTCCTTACTTAGAGATTCCCAATATTGAAGGAAACATGGAGTTGGCAAGGGTAATAGACCTAATTCCATGGATGGATTATGAATTTCGTGTAATAGCAACCAATACATTAGGTAACGGTGAACCTAGTTTGCCGTCACCAAAAATTAGAACAGAGGGAGCTGGTAAGTCTTGTGTACTGCATAAAACATTAACTGTGTGGGCATAAAAAGCTTGTATTATTTTAGAAAGTGTTAAAATGTGGGTGTGCTGGATTCATCAGAATAAGTGAGTTGATTGGTTGGATAGAGGTGAAACACTGCTGACTGTTATCATCTAGTCATGTGCAAGCAAATTTACTTTTATGTATTATCCATGTGATTGAGTATTCCCCTGCAGAGTGAACAGTTTATTGACTTTGAGTAAATAGGCCCCATCATAACTGATTGTGATTGGACACCTGTTCTCCTGCTCTAGCAACCAGAGCCACAATTGCTGCATTTTCCTGTTTTACATGATTTGACACTAATGAAGCTTATTTGCATTCCTGCACTCAAAATTGTAGCTTGGAATACTAATCAGTAAGGACTGTTTCATTCTACTATACAAATAGAGCTATTTCAAAGTGCTTATTTTTGTACAGAATAGAAATGTCATGCAACCAGTATATGTTTACAGTAACCCTATCACTATAGAAATCTTTAAAAGCAAGTCATACCTGTAAAATAAGACAGTACATAGTTACTTTCCTGCTTTCCCACTGCTGAGAATTCTTCTGCTGAAGTCTGTAGGGAAACCAACACTTCAGGGAGTGTTGATCTCACTGGTTCCTCCTGCTGACCTTCACATTAATACTGTATCCTGTAATGGGTGGAGATCAGAGGGAGGCACTAGTGAGCGCTGTGGGGGACCCAGGAGATTGACACTTCTGGAAATGTTGGTTTTCCTTTGAACTTTAGTAGAAGATCGGAGCCGTGTCGGTGGTACTGCAGGCATGGCTTCCTTTGAAAGTTTTTCTATAGAGTTGTGTTAAACATACATTAGTTGCAGGAAAGTTCCACTCTGTACTAAAACAGGGACTTTGATTTAGCTATGTATGTATAGTTACATGAAATGCTCCCTACTGATTAGCATTTTAACCCTTTCGCTGCCAAGCCCTCCGGAACATTTTTCAAATCAGCTGGCCAAGCCATTTTTTAATTTTCTGCAATTTTTTCCTATTGATTTGATTTTCAACTGCTGGGTTGCTAGCGTTTGTAAAAGACCCCCCAAACCATATATTTTCTGAAAGCGCAGGCCCGGTAGAATAAAAAGATGGTGATACTAAATTTGTAGGCCCTGCGATAATTGCGCAAATGTTTCCCAAATTAATATTAAACCGATAAAAATACACAATTCAATTGTTAAAACACACCAAAATCAGTATCCGTGCACAAAAAAAAATATTTTTTGACTAAATCTAAAAGATAAAACTGTATTGAGTTAATAAATAACAAATATTAGCAAATTTGTAATTGCGCCTTTTTGCGAAAAGGTAAAAAAATGAAGGTATGCAAAACTGTAAATAATCGACTTATGTAAAAAATTGTTTTGGTGTTTGTGTTGTGATAAAATGATACAGGTGTATATTTAATTGCAACACAAGG